TTTCAAATTATTATGTTCTAACTCTGATACATCTACTAAATAATAATTAACTAACATAATCTTGTTGACAAGGCGGAAAGTGAAAGAGTGAAATGAGAATTGAGAGAAATGAATTAGATTTTGATTAAGGTGGTCACTCAATTGCATTTCTACTATTTATTTTCTCAAGTTATCCTCATCATCACTGATAGATTATAATTTGATGCACATATTTTTTTATATATATGAAGAAATTATCTTGGTGGGGCGGGTATGGGGATGAGGATGGGTATGGGGCGGGGGAGGCTAAAACCATACCCGCCCCATACCCATCAAACTTTTTGCGGGTTTTACCCATACCCGCCCCATACCCGGTCAAAGCGGGGATTCCCCGCGTTGACAGGGTCGAGGGCGGTCGGATACCCGCGGCCATGGGTTTGATTGTCATCCCTAACCACAATGGTATGTGGCTGGTAACTTGTGGTAAACTGGTAACATGTAGTAAACAATGATGAAAGTCGTAAATGACAGTTAGTATACTCCTACTATCATGTATTCAACCTTCTTACCATATTGGTATGTTCATACCATCATGGTACGCTTTCTTACCATATGGTATTAAATAGGAGCATACCATATGATAACGACTGGTAAAAAATTATTCAATTTTTTTTGTACTAAAAATATATCAAAGTGGATATCATTTTAAAGAGCATATTTAATCTGATTTATTTGTGCAAAAAAAATTAAATTTCGACTTAAAACGAGAGAGAAATCATCAGTTAAAGATTAAAGGGAAAAAATAAAAAACTTTACAGGAGAGAGATAATACTCATGTCATGCTGATCTGATGAGCTTACTCATAGTTACTGACCATAGAGTTACTCGACACTAGCTACTCGTGTACTTGGGCTCAAGATAGGGTGAGTAACAATGAGTAACCAAATCTGGACCCTTCTTTTAAGTGACTGCAGATCTAAGGGTGGAGAATTAAAGAAATTTATTTTTCCTAGTTTTCTTAATTGGATCATATCTTCTTCATTATAACTCGGATTTCAATTTTTTTTGCACAGATGGAACGAGTTCGTTGTGCTCTACAAAATGATATCCATTTTCAATATTTTTTTAGAGAAAAAATTTTCATCCCTCTCGTTACCAACTCCATACCATATGGTATCTCCTTCGTTGTTTAGTCATTTTCGGAAATTTTTGCACAAAAGGAACGATTTAATCATGATCTATTGGATTTCAAAATTTTCTAAGGGAAAAAATTTCAAACCTCTCGTTACCAACTCCATACCATACTATACCACCCTGGTATGAGGTGGTATTTTTCATACCATATGGTATGCTGTTATTTAATACCATATGGTATTGACTATACCATATGGTATAGACTGGTAATAACTGACAAATTTTTTTTGTTCCAAAAAATATCAAAGTGGATATAATTTTGAAGAACACAATTAATCTGATCTAACTGTGCAAAAAAAAATTAAATTTCGAGTTAAAACGAGTGAGAAATCGTCAGTTAAAGATTAAGGGAAAGAAAATTAATGATTTTTCCAAGAGAGAGAAGGAGGCGCTAATGTGGCAGATTCTTATTGGGTTATGCATGGGGTTACTCATAATAAGGTTACTCACCGAATCTGCTCCCGTGTACTTGGACAATGCTTGCCAACATGAAATGTCCCATGCTTCGAGTACCAATTTATGTATGCCCTACTACAATCAACTAAGTAAACCATTTCTACCAAACAAACTAAGTAAACCACTATATTATTATCAATCAATAAATAAAACATTACAACATTATATTATTACATTGCATAACTTCTTATCATCTCACTTATAATGTATTTTTAAAACTTATGTGTTCGACCGTGTATTCCTACAGACCTTAAATTAAATATTTTGTCCAATTCATATAAAAGAAACAATTTTGGCCATTTAAAAGGAATGCATGAAAATGAAAGAAAATAGAGCTTTAAGGACAACCACGTATTTGAAAACCGAGTGAATGGTTTTTGACTGAGGATATGTCCTAAAATGATTGCAATATTGACTACACTAATTAATTAATTAAACTGTATAGACATTTGGACAAAATACTAATGACTAACGCGTATATAATAGATGAATCGTCCATACATGCAAATAAATCAAAGAATGTGATTGACAGGAACCCTCAAAACAAAATAATTGAGATCTCCTTCAAATAGCATCTCAGGTTTATCAACACACAAGTTACTTAACCTCTGTGTGATGCAATTTATTTTCCTCATTATTGAATCAAATCACCTAATAACAAATAAATGACTATGACATCATCTATCAAATATCAATGGATATGAACTTTACATCACTGCAGTCAAAATCACAATTATAGATAGAAGCGTTTTGGTGACCTGATAGTGTAAAATCTTAGGGTGTGCCTACAGTGACATGCATGTCACGGTGACTTGCACTTTCCGGTCGACCTCAGTTAGAATTAGGTCGACCTCATATAGAATTCAGTCGACCTCATATAGGATCCAGTCGACCTCATTTAGGATTCGGTCGACCTCATATAGGATCCGGTCGACCTAATATGTTGTTTCAGTGTAAAAACAGTTCATGGTGCCTACTTTGGATATTCATATCATACAATTGGCTAGATGGAAATTGAAGACTAATGACTTGTTTTGAAGCTGGAGTGTCCCTCTACATATTGAAGTGATTGAGAGCTCGATAGGAAGTCCAGAAGACCATTTTTGAACCTCATCAAAAGGCTATGCCAAAAGTGGGAAACTGCCTAGAAATGGCTAAGTCTGGAAACGTGTTTGTGAAGCCTATTTTTGAGCTCAATTCGAGAAGCATGAATGCGAGTCGAGTCCAGGAGCCTCTACCACGTTAAATTAGGTATGTTTTTATACAAATTCAAGGAATTGGATGAAAGATTGGATATATTTAAGGCTTCAAACAAAAGGGTCGAAGTTGCTACGAAGGCTGTTTTTCTGGCAGACTTCGAGCACAAGCAAGCTGCCAGAAAAACAGCCTTCGTAGCAACTTCGAGCCTTTTGTTTGGAGCCTTAAAGATATTCAATCTTTCATTCAATGCCTTGCCTTTGTATAAAAAAATACATAATTTAACGTGGTAAAGGCCCCTGGACTGGACTCGCATCCATGCTTGTCAAATTGAGCTCCAAAGTAGGCTTGACAAACACGTTGCCAGACTTAGCCATTTTCAGGCAGTTTCCCAGTTTTGGCATAGCCTTTTGGTCAGGTTCAAAAATGGTCTTCTAGACTTTCTATTGAGCTCCCAAGTACTTTAATGTGTAGAGGGACACTTCAGCTTCAAAACAAGCCTTTAATCTCCAATTTCCATATAGCCAATTGTAAGATATGAATCTCCAAAGTAGGCACCATGAAACTGTTTGTACACTGAAACAACTTATTAGGTCGACCTGATCCTATATGAGGTCGACCGAAAAGTGCATGTCACCGTGACATGCATGTCACCGTAGCAAAGTCCAAAATCTTAACCTTTTAAATTCTAAAGTGTAGATCATAGAAGTGGTTTGATGACCTATAAATATAAAAACGAAAGCTTTTAAATTATAAAACCCAATGTTGACTATATTGCTTTATATCCTTCTTGAAAAATCGACAAGTGACATTTTTAGATTTTTGTCTTTACAGTAATGGATGGTTCAATATGCATTCTCTAAACATATGGTTAGTAGTCTCAATGTCCGCCTCACAGAGTGTACATCTGCTCGCAATGTCCCAACCACGCCGCATTAGGTTGTCTTGTGTTAAGATTTGATTGTGATAGACCAGTCACATAAAGCAGCTTGTTTTCAAGGGCACCTGTGCACGCCACACAACCTTGTGCAGAAAGTTTGAGATACCGGGAAACTTCCCGGAAACAGGCTTCTGTACATGGATCGAACAGAGAATCCCTCTTTAGGATCGAGCACCCACACCAACCTGCAAGGACCCGTAGAAATCTAACTAAGAGGCAAATTTGACAGGAAATTAAAAAAGATCAACCCTCTCCCTCACAGCCCCCCTATCAAAGAAATATTTAAAGGAATATTCCAACTTACGGTTTCCGAACAGGAGATGAAGTCAGAAACCCAACCATTGGGGAAGGCGGAGACGGAAGCGACTATTGGGAAACCTTCTGTTAAGGTCACCCCTCGATTCCACCGATCATGCCAGAACGAGACCCAAGCGCCACCCCCGGATCAATATATAGGCGAACCCCCGGATCATTTCCTTCAAGATAGACATCCAAACAGGCCATCCAATCCTACCACTTCCTTGCCTAAAAATCCAAATAGAAGGGGTGTTTGGGAACTTAATACTAATAATCAATCTCCTCCACCATGCATCACGTTCAAGAGCAAACTTCCACATCCACTTTGAGAGGAGGGCAGTATTCATATATAGTTTCCATATCAAGAATTCCCAAGCCACCTGCTCGAACTTGTGCTTTACATTGCTCCAATCCGCGTGTTCCAACTATTGTCATTAATATTCTTATCCAAAACATATATTTGTAAGAAATATCATACTTTTTTCTCTTGTGGCTTCACTAACGCAATAAATTCTTCTACTTAAAATTTAGACTTATATTTAACATAGGCTACAATTCACATATTTTTTTTATTTAACATAGGCTACAATTCACATATTTTTTTTAGTATACAATTTTAGAAAAATAATATATTATGAATATGCGTTCTCATTTTAGTTTATTTCGGGAAATGTTTGTGGGAACTACCTGCCTTAACACGCGTTGGCCGTCGGTGGAGGACTGATGACTGATGGAACGAGATTCACCCCACCCATGTTATATAGGCTATATTTATATCACTGCAGTTAAAAAAAAAACTTTACGTGCCATTTACGGCACCATGGATATTAATTTTACACGCCTGCTTTACCCATCACCACAGCCGCCTCTTAATAAATAAATAAAAAAGAAAGAAAAAATTCGGTCACCTCTATACATATATACATAGACGGATAGACCTCACTAAACAAACCAAAACCAGCACACTGCCGGAGATGAACTACACGGCGTCGTTTTTCCCTGCTGCTTTCATCTCCTCCTCCTCCTCCTCAGCAGCAGCAAACTCATCCGCTACGACGACCGTGGCGGAGGACTACGACCATCAACACGCGTTGACCGTCGTCGGCGGAGGAGGAAGACTGATGACGGATCGGTCGACGGCGGAGGAGGATAAGGAGAAGAAGAAGGAAATGATGATGGGCGGTGGGCAGAAGAAGGCAGAGAGTAGTAAGAAGACGACGAAGAAGAAGAAGGGCAATAATAATAAGTATGCGTTTCAGACGAGGAGCCAAGTGGACATACTCGACGACGGCTACCGCTGGAGGAAGTACGGCCAGAAAGCCGTCAAGAACAACAACTTCCCCAGGTCACCCATCTCTCTCCTTTCTGATTTATCATTTATATATGTTACTAGTCATCTTAAGGTTAATTTGCCCTCCTCCATCATTCTGTCCGGAGACCTTCAAAATTTGGAGGCCCTACGCCAGAGGACCTGCTAGCACACCCTCAGGGCCGGCCCTGCATATAAACCTGTCCATTTCAAGAGCGAGCTTCACTCACATCCAACCCAAACTCCGTTAATACTTGATTTTACCCGCTTTTACCGAGTATTATTGGATTGGGTATCCGTGAATGTGAGTTCAAGTGCCATCGCTACATACAAAATACAACAAGCTAGCCAGAGCCCGCTAGCTGGCGCACAAACAAGTCTGATCACAAGTGTGGGACTGAATCCATGTAGGAAATATAAATCCTAGATCCTCTTATCGTTTGAGACATGATTGCGGATTATTTCAGTTTTAGGGATTTCGGTTATTATTTTGGGATTTTCGGGAATGTTTTCATGCTTTGGATATTAGTCATAATTTTGGGTAGCTATAGGAAACTTGTATGTTCTATATATTCTGTACTGGTGGGGTTTTTCTCATTAAGAAATAACAGAATAATTATTCACTAAACCCTAATATTTCCCTCTCTTAGAAGTCTCTCTCATTTCCTCACCCAAAATCGGCGGCTCCCTCCACTTAGGGATAGCCAAATTTTCCTCTAAACCCCACTCTTCTTCTTCCTCAATCCCTAATTCTACCCTTATGTTTCCAAATTATCGTACAAAATTCCCGTTCTCTAGCCCTAGCCGTACATGCCTAGATCGTGTTTCCTGCAATCTGTGGGCTACCTAGCCAACTGAAAAGTCGATCTAGTCTTAATTTGGAGCTGTAACCTCATTCTTCCCAATCCAGCATCCCCTTTTCTTCTCCAAAACTCTAAAACAATCTGATCCAATTGAATTGACGGAGAGTCGTATCCCGACTGATCGCCCGGTCAAAGTTTTAGTCTTAAGGTTTGTACAGCTAGCCCTAGCTAATCCACAAACGCAAACGTGTGAAAAAAATGAAAATGAGTTTTACAGGAACAATATTAATATATATATATATATATGGCTGTGGAAAATTGACTGATATACATAATTCAATGTTCCTTCCTTCCACCAAATTGCACGCTTATCAGTAACGGTCAAACATGTAAAGCTCAAAACATTATCATTCTGTATAACATTCTTAAACTAATCCTTTTTTTCTTCTAAAAATATAAAATATTGAAATTAGTTTTTATGTATTTTTGTGATAATACTCTAGCTGGTAGCACAAACATTTTGACCGATATTATGACATGCATTTATATATGGGCTACCACTAGTAAGTGATCTGATTTGAATCGTCTACTGACAGCTCTCACTAGTGCTTTATGTCCGCTTGTTGCCTCTTTCCTTCAATGATGGCTAATATCACACGTTCTCATTAGGGGTGGGCAACGGAAAACGGGTATTTGGGTATACCCGTATCCGTCCCGTTTTATAAGGGTTACGGGTACCCATATTACCCGTAATATTTTAAACGGATGGGACTTGGAATTGTACAGTCCTAATATGGGTACCCGCGGGTTACCCGCTAATACCCGTTTGGGTAATATGGGTACCCGTTCTACCCATTCAAAGTACAAAGACAGATTTGCAATAACATGACAGTTCTTTCATTTTACCGATTAATTTCGTTTAGTTAATTTTATGCATATGATTCTAAGTTACACTCGATGAGCATGGTTAAACTCTGGGTTTGTTGAATATTATTTTTGGGATCTGGTCAGCAAGTGGAGGGGAGAGGTAATAAAATTTACGAAGAACCATGTTGAGATGCTGGACAAGGTATTGATCAGGGGAGGAAGGATAGATAAGCATAACGGAGCTTTGTAACTATGATTTAAAATGGTTTAAGGTTCTTGCTAAGAACTACCCTAGCGTTGACACTTGACAATCACCCCACTGTTTGAGGTCGTTCGAGGTCTACTCGAGAAGACCAAGAGTAGCCCTGCTGATGTAGCTGATAGTTTGATGCGGAAGGCTGTTAAAGAACATGCCGGAATTTGCCTGAATAGTTTGATCATATCGTGTTCTTATTATTCCCCGCAAGAGCATGTTATTGTTAAGATATGTAATGTGATGTCATTTAAACTTTGGGTATTTTATGGGTAGTATGGGTACCCGTTATTCGTCCCGTACGGGTAATGGGTACCCGTTTCCCATACGGGTTTGGGATATGGGATGGACTTTGGTCTCCAAATGGGACTGGGTACCCGTTTAAAACGGGACGGGTATCCCGTCCCGTCCCGTTGCCCACCCCTAGTTCTCATTCCAAATCCTAATTTCACCACTCAATGATCAAACACAACTCAAACACCAGATTCTTTATCTGCCCCTAACCCAACCCGGGAATGATACCTCTGCTCGACGAGGAGCGCCTGGGTGCATCGCCCGCAGCGTGTTCAATTGGAAAGTCTGGCAAAGGCGCTACACTACAGTAGAAGCTTTGGCAGTTTACCATGGCTTGATGTTATAGTTGTCATGCTAAAGCCGTTGATAGCTACTTCGCTTGACGAGCTAAGTAGAAATACTTTGTGGATTCATCCACTTTAGACTCTTGCTTCTTCTCTGACTTTCCTTTGATGTCTGCTATTCGAATCAGTCGATTAGCTTTCGAAGGCGGTAACCAATCCGTCTCGCATGCCAGTCCGTCTGTCTCTATGTCTTGGGCACACGAATCATCCTCATCACTAAGCTAAACTTATCCCTAAGGAGAAGTGGTGAATACCCAATACTTTAGAGTTGTTTGGATGAGACTTTTAGGTGAGTTAATTTGGCTCAAAATAACATCGTAATGAGTTAAATGGGGAAAAAAACTCATTTAACAACACTTTACTAAAATAAGTCCTTTGAGTCGTGAGTTAATTACAAATATCTCAAATGAGTTATTTGAAATAACTAATATCCCGTGTTATTCGGAAATAACTCATTTTATCCCTTTGTTATTGTCACAATGAGTTTCGTTTTGCAACATTTTACTCAAATGAGTTATTTGGGCAGTGAGTTATTTGAACTAACTCATACTCCTGTATTATTCCGAAATAGCTCGTTTTACCACTATGTTTTTGCCAAATACCACATTCGCATGATTTTACCAAACGAGATACTTTAATCCAACTGCCATTGGAATACCACATGAACAATTAATGAGTTATTTTACTCTACAAATACCAAATTGACAATTAATCCGTCCACCCCTTATTGATCTAACCTAAATATATATATGACATGAAATGTGAATAAACACTTATGTATGAGAAATGCAATGCAAGTATTAACCTTTTTATTAATTTTCTTTGTTATATGTCGTGGCATGCAGAAGCTACTACAGGTGCACATACCAAGGGTGCAGTGTGAAGAAACAAGTGCAACGACTGACGACAGATGAAGGTGTGGTGGTGACAACCTACGAAGGAGTGCATTCCCACCCAATTGAAAAGTCCATGGACAACTTCGAGCATATCTTGAATCAGATGCATCTCTATGCGAATGTTTGAATTATATAATTATTCGCTCCATCAACCATATTTGTACATTAGTTATTATCGTTACATGCACCAACGTCATCATTTTTTTTTTAACCTTCCATCTCCAGGGGCTTCTCCTCTTCATATATAATTTTGAGTTGGTGGGAAAGCCTCCATATCAATGATCGCTTAGAACATTAGTGTAATATGTCTTAGTTGCAGGTATGATAAAAATCCCGAGCTCGTGAAAGTTTATGTTTTTTTTTCTTGTCAAAGTCGCACAGTCTCATCAAGTTTGAATAACTCAATTCGATCTTCAAACAAACATAAAAATAAAGGTATACGTGGGAGTAGATACTCGCCACAATCAAGTGTGATCGCTTGATTGATAAGAGTCTTGCCAAACTCTTCTGAAATCTTCGACAGAAAAATTCAAACAAGGATCTTGCCCTAGCTATGGAATCCACCAGAAGCTAAAACAATATACCATAAGCACTCATGCTACATGAGGTAAAACTCCTCAGAGTTAATTTTCATTCATCAAAATTTTCTAACCCTAAATTTTTTGTTTACAACCGTTTAAATAGGTCTGGAAAATAAAACTAATGAGAGTACAGAATATGAAAAAGAATTCTAAACAAAAAAACTAACTAAAACTCGTCAACCAAAATACCCTATCAGGTATTTTAACCCTCATGACCGGGGGTCCTTCTAATCAAATACCCTATCTCGAACCTCAGATCCCCTGTAGGGGATTTTAACCCACCTGATAGGGTATTTTTCCTAATCACCATACGATCTTTAGTCTGCTCGTTTGGTGTCTAGGAAGCTTCAATCTTCTCATCAAATGCCTTCACGGTCTTTAATTGAACTTATATTTTGATGTCCAACTCCATACTCCCATTGATTATCTTTCAAGATGAAGATGCAAGCCTCCAAAGTAGGTATTTTGACACTGTTTCCACACTTAGCAATTTTTAGCACGTCATTCTTCCACGATTGAAGCACACCTTGGAATGCTTGGAAATGGACATTCTTGATGGCTAGCTTGCTCACATCATTCGTTCTCCCTGTAAAAAATCTTTGCCCTCAAAGCTTGTAGACTAGTACACCTCAAATCCTTATCAGAATTAAAACAAAAAGGATCGTGATAGCTTGATTCAATGCGTTCTATTTCAACCACTTCAGTTCCACCACTTTCCTTTACCGCAACTTCTTCTACATCCTTCTGATCTGGGGAATTGATGGACAACTTCTCTTCTTCGGTTGCCTCCTGATCTTGAAGGGTTCTTGCTTCCTCGACCTTCTACTCCTCCTCACAAGCTTGTGGTAGTTGCGTCCTTTTTTCTGCAACCTCTTGTGTGCTAGATGCTGATCATGTGCTTGTTGTGGATAGAAATGAGAATTTGACTATATGCTCTTCTTCATACTCCTGCTTTAATCGTTGCAATGCCTTCAAATCATCAACAGCTTCCTCCGAGGATAAATGATCAAAATGAAAACCTTCTTCTGATGTTGCAATCGGAAGCTTTTGGACCTTCTGCTGACCAATGGTCGCTGGCAAAAGGCGACCCCGCAGTGAAACTCGACCAGTCCCACTACTTCTTCTTGTTTAGGGTTCCTTCTGGGAGTCAAACTTCAGCGATGAAGAGGATGAATAGAAGGAAGTGAGAATAAGTTCGAGGTCTTGAACTACGGGGTGACTTTCGCATCGAAAGGGGAGAATTGGGGAAAGAAAAGAGATTGAGTGGTGATAAACAAATCGAAAGAAGGCGACATTTGTGCAGGGTTGTGCAGAAGGAGGAAGACATTCCGGTTGGGGTCGCAGACTCGCAACAAGGGAAGAGGAAGAAATGGAGAGAAGGGTGGCAGGGGCTCTTCACCTACCATTTTTTTTATTTTCAATTAACTCTATTACTTTTTTATTTATTTTATTTTTTAATCCCTGTGGATCATCACTAATAAAAATATCGCCATATAAGCTTTTCTGTTAGTCTTGCTAGCTTGTTAACTGACATCATTAAAGTATTGGACAAAATTGGCTATTTTGTGTATTTCTCAAAAAGTGGCTATTATTGTCACAAACACCAAAATTTTGGTTATACATATGTATTTTGTCAAGTTTTAAACATCATATACAATGAGCTACATACTCTAACAATCCAATGAATTGTCAATAAACCAACTCATAAGTTATATCTCAATTCACTCATATGTCAATAGCTAGTGATGACAATGGGGCGGAGCGGGTACCTTAATACCCATGCCCCTCCCTACGCTACTACGGGTAGGGGCGGATAAAACCAGCACGGATAAAGGGTGGGGCGGGTTGACCCACTCTTTCATGTTATGTGAAAAAAATACAAGCAAAAATTTATTTTTTTACGATAAAATGAAGGAAAAACATGGTGTGAATGAAAAATATTAATAATAGAATGGGTAATTGAGTCTAACTAATTGAAAGATCAAGTCTAACTAGTTGAAAAAGCCAAAATAGGAGAATCATGAATAGATACTATGAGAAATTATGATAGAATGGGCCAAGAAAGGGGCGAGGAAGGGCAAGGTAGGGCAGGTCGGAAGTAGATATCCATGCCCCGCCCCACGCTATTGCGAGTCGGATCGTGTAATACCCGGCGAGGCGGGTTCAAATTGCCATCCCTACCTCTAGTGAGGTGTCTTGCTAGCAACACCGTCGAATCATATCATAGCTAGAAATAAGCTCGCAAGTTGAGCTCAACAATTCAACAAATCTAACTCACTCATGAGTCTTACATAGGGGTGTTAGTCGGTGCGGTTTCGAATTAACCGCACCCAAATATCGGTTAACCGCAACCAAAATTGTCCCAAGACCGCTAACCGAAATCAAAATTGATAGAGACTTCGGTTAACCAAAAACCACAAACATCGATTTTGATTTCCCCTTGCGATTAACCGAAACCACAGGTTCTGGTTCGCTTTCTCAGTTTTAGGTAAGAAACCGACCCCCGAAATCGAATTTTAGCCACCTTTTGAATGATTCAGCCCCAAATTTGAGTGACCTGCTTTTGTTTCAGCCTCTAAAATCACACACCATAAAGTCATCTAAATCAATTGAACATAAAGTCTAAAGAAACCACACAATTCAACCACAACTCCACAACATAAAGTCCACATGCCTACAATTCAACCCACAAGTCATAATCACAACTAGACACAAATAACAAGTTCATCATCTCCAAATCATCAACCTAAATGATCCGAGAATCTCGCTCCAATTCATCTACCCATAGTCATCATTTACTCCAAGATCTTCATCTAGCCCATAGTCATCAACCTAAGGTTCCCTATGTCGAGTGCAAAGTGGAGTTAGAGAGGGGTGACTTTCGAGTTCTAACTCTTAAAAACGTTTGAGACTCTTGATAGAGGGTTGTTTGCAATAGGTGAGAATTAGGATGTTTGGAATTGCGACTTTGATTGGTTTTGAATCTTATAACATTTTCCCTTAGCCGAAGTATAAAACCATGTAGTCACACTAGTAGGCGGTTATCGGTTAACAACTAAGTAATTAGTCGGTTAGTAGTTAACCACTAAGCAAAATACTACTAACCGAAACCGAATCCAATAATAAATTAACGATTATCGGTTAACCACTAACCGACTTTTTCGGTTCGATTATTGGTTAAAACCAATAACCAACTAACCGTTTATCATCCCTAATCTTAAAACCGATAACCGACTAACCGTTTATCATTTCCTAGTCTTACTCTTACAAATCAAACAAAATTGAGCTCAAACTCATCTTAGTGAAAAAAATTTCTTTTCTACGTGGGCATCAAGCCACTCACTCGCGTATCTATTGCTATGCTATCCCTACCTAGTATGCATTCCCTATCCCCGTCGAAGAATAACAACAAACTCGAATTAAATACTAACTTGAAATTTCTCTCGTTTGCCATAGGAGGGCACGGCAGTAATCTAACCCACAGCCAGGTCGATCCCCGTTTCTATACTCGACGCCCCCTTGAACGAGAAACCTCCTCTCCGGCAAATAGGGTTGCTGCTACTACTATCACAGTTTCCCGATCACCGCCCCCCCTCGGTCTCCGGCGAACCCACCTAAGAACCCTAGCTCGCTTCACAGTCACCGGGAGCTCTTAGTAATTCAATAAAGTCGAAGCCCTCTTTCTTCCCTATGGTGAACATCACTTTGTAGTCGCTTCGAAGGGCACTCGCTCGCGCAGAAAAAGCCGATTGTTTCCCGCAGCTTCTTCATCCACCCATGGCGCTCCCTCTCGGCAAGTTGGTTATTCTTGCCGGTGCCGGTACGTACAATCTACCTCCCCCCCCTGTCAATTTTTTTGTCCATTGGTCTTTACGCATTCTGGGAAGCAATTACACTCTGTAGCTCCTAAATTAGTTTGATCATAGCTTCTGGAGCATTACAGCACAGAGATTTTAGGCCGTATTTGGGTTTTCGGCTCATGGTTTTGATAGCCGAGTCTATGTAGCTGTATTGTAGTGGTGGGCTCTAGTTTGGTTCGAGGGCAATTACTGTGTTAAGTGGAACGTTACACTTGTATTGAAGTTGGCTTACCGTCGCAGCTAGCAGATAGTGGCTTGGTGGCAAAGTGTTAACGAGCTCTCAAATGGTGTACTTTAGTTATCAGTTGTCGGTCTTATTTAACCTGTGCGCGATGCTTCTGATAAAGGGAAAAATTGAGAAGCTTTTTCTTCTGTTGTTTCCAATCTTTAGAAGAATTTCTTGCTTGGTAGAGGCACGCTGTTTTTTATTATTATATATAATTCACAATCTTCCATCTGTTACAGCTGATGAGTTTCTTTGCACAAAATGATAAATTTCTTGTGCCATGTTTCTGTTTCTCTTGACCTGCAAAATTATTTCCTGTTCAGTATATAAATTTGTTTTCTTGCACAATGAGTTCTTTGTTTCTGGCATTTATAGGTCTTATTGGCGCTAGCACTGTTTATGGGAAAGATTCAGGCATTACTGATTGGCTCTTTGGAGCTAGCAAGGTGAGTGCTAAATAAAGCTATTAATTATGAGCTATTAGAATTGTGTACCTACTGTTTCTCTGGTGACGTAGTATTCATTTCTATGCAATTTTTAACCATACACAAAGGAGCAATTCGCTCTTACATGGTCACATAGGTTGATGCCAATTAAAATTCGCAAAATGTATACATGAAATGTGTGGTTCAGAAGGATATCTTCTCTAGTTTCTATTCTGTCCAGAATTTCTTCTGAGTTATCCTGTTTTCTCATGAATGTTTGTGCTGATTTGTTCTTCACAATAGATTTGGAAGCAGCTAAAGAAAGACACTGGGTCTGGGAAAAAGCCACAAAATGACTCGTTGATGGCACAGGTTTGCAATTCGATCTTACACATGTAGTGGGTGAATTAGGGTGGACTCTCGGCACTGCAGTTGTCCCACTTCTTGTCTTTCTGCTAGATGTAAAAGCTTGCTTCCAGTGTGAAGCTATTCTACGCCCTTCCAAAATCTTTGTTCCGTTTATGCTCTTAGACTCTATCCTTCAGAATATTAACCTGAAAACTTGTTTTGCTCATAGTTTGTTTGGAGTTCTGTTTTGGAAGAGAAGAAGCCATGTTTTTTCATTTGACAGTCCCATTGCCACTGTGGTTCTTATATCCACTTATCAATACAGGTTAACAGTCTGAGGCAGGAACTGCAATTGTTGGCATCAAACGGACCAGTTACAATCATCACTTCTGGAGGAGCAGGTTTTAATACTTGCATATACAAATTACATACTGCTTGTCCTAGATTGAATTCTTCAGATCAAGCTTTTCATTTCAAGAATGTTTCGGTTGTTGTTAGATAATATTTACAATCTACAATTAACTGATTTTTTGCAGTTGCAACCATTTGTTTCTGAGCTTGGTTCTTTGATCTTCAGGTGCTAACAAATATTATATAATCGTTGTGGGTGGAGTGATTGGCTGTGGCTATGTTTGGTGGAAGGTAATAGTATTAATTGTTTGCTTTAACCATCTCCAGCTTGATAATGTCCACGTCTTTCGAGTACTTCACCTCAACAAACTTCGTGTTTGACTGAGGCAGTGATCTTTTCTTCGCTGGATTTTTTCTCTGGAACATTTTTTAGCACCAGTATTGTCCCCCCAACTTGATGATTTTCTTATTTTCAGGGCTGGAAACTCCCTGATATGATGTTCGCTACAAGGCGTACTTTATCTGATGCCTGCAATTCGGTAGCCCAACAACTTGAAACTGTCTATGCTTCACTCCGGGTTGGTTTTCTTATTTTCTTTTCTCATTGGAATTTCAAATAAGAGAGTTTTTTGGTCTTCCTAATATGGATGTTCTATTGTTTAGACTACTAGGAAGGAGTTATCGGCAGGCATTTCAAACTTGGATACTAAGTTGACGGAGATTGAAAAAAGTACAGATAGCACACAAGGAATAGTAAGTTCAGTTAGCTGTATCTTTTGCCATAAGTCAATGTTTATATGTTCATATGATAGTAGCTTTATAAATATGGCCTACATTCTTAGGTTGTTCAACTACTGGAAGGATCAGGAAAAATCGGCAAGGACTTTCATTCTTTTAAGGAACGTGTTGAATCTCTGGTAAAATCTGTGCACTTGTATTTTTTCTCACGATTATTTTCTTTGCTTAGGGTCGTAATTTGATGGCTCACGTCACTCTTTCCTGTTGTTGATTTCAGAAGTCAAGAGTCGATAACATTGCAGTGAAGCAGGTGATTGTTGTGCTAACATTGTCTCTGGTAGAGTTCGGGAGTGTTTGTAAATCTTGGTCCTTAACTTTTTATGGGCGTTTGGATTTCAGGTAGAGTCGATATCTGGAATACAGAGTCTGTTGGCTGTTGCACACCAGGTTCAAACTGGATTGATCGATAATGGACAGGCATGTATTATTTTGGATTATTGTTAGATTAAAGTGTTCGGTATTTTTCCGACTTCCATTGGTTGCTTTCTTTCTTTAGAATATATGGATTGTGGTGCATATATTCGTCATATGTATGATTAGGGGTAGTAAATGATTTAGTCCACACCAAAACATAACTCGTTTCGTTTTTTATTCTCAAAATTCAAGACTTTTTTTTGGGTTTTGAACACGCATATTCCTACTTATGGTGGTATGTACTGTACGTGTTCAATTGAGGGGTGTGCAGCTCCAGTCCAGTTCTGATCAGACAGAATCGGCATAGAATAGAGAAAATAAGCAACAAACTCGAATCGAAAGCACAATCTGGGTGGTTTTCAAAATTTATGGAGTCAAAACCAAATCAAACTATGAGCGGTCCAGTTTGGTTTGAGCAATGCAATTTTTTTTCATATGGCTCGTAGCATAGAAATATTATTTTGATTTTCTTTCATTGAATCTGCTGAGATTTCTGCAGACCTCGCCTTCTAGCCCACCACAGATTTCATTCTCCTCAGTGGTAATACTTCTTAATTCTTATGCCCTTCACTAGTTCACTATTCTATTCTTCAGTCTTTTGTCCTTATAAGAAATCTCACTACTGCTACTCTCTCTCTCTCTCTCTCTCTCTCTCTCTCTCTCCTGTCGGATTTCCAGAGCGCTTTGCCACCTGCTGCTGATGGATTATCATCAAGGCCTGCTACTTCCGATCCATCTCCTGAGGTTGAACAAACTCCCCGAAGAATTGTATCGCCACCCTCTACTCAGCAGGTCAAACCCCACGATCTTCTACCTTGCTCTGATTCTACGTCTGTTCATGAACTGTCATCAATGTGCTAATTCAACTCTTGTCCAACAGGGTAACGGGGTTGCTGGCGTTACTGAGTTGACCAGCCAAGGCATTTGGAACGGTATTTTTACTCCAGAAGTAACGAATGGAGGAGAGTCTTCTTCTTCTTCTTCAGTTCTGCAGAGACCATCGTCGTTTCTCTCGAGAGTATTCAGCAGCACCACAGGTACAATACTAAGACGACCAGGTCTGAGACAGTGAAGACAGCAAAATTCCTGGAGGCAACGGATGTTCGGGGTTCAGTTCATAAAAGTTAGTCATTGTTCCCTGTGAGACTTCTCCTAACTTAAGTACCTACCCTAGCTGAACTGGGTAGACTGTGTCTCGCAAAATTTTGTAGAGGATGTTGTTGACGCTTTTAAGATGAACTGAAAAAGCCCTTTCCCTGGCTATGTAAAGGTTTATTATTATTAGGATTTTAGACAGTAGACTTAAAAGAAATTAGAGAGAAGCGGCAGGACACAGCCTTTGATCTGGAAACTCATTTACACTGCTTTCCTTTGCTTGAGGAAACAAAAAAAAAGCATAATTATTCAAGTTCCGGATATCCCTCATCCATATCAGTTGGACGAACAAAATGTGTGCCTCTGATTTTTGCTTGTCATCTTTGTGCACGGTTTATGCTGATTTTTTTGGATTAATTGCAAGATTGGTCACCGAGTTTACGAAAAACGTTCATGTTTGGTCACTCGAAATTTTTAATTTCATTCGTGGTCAATAAAATTAGTTAAATAGATCAAATTTGGTCACTCTCCGTTCAACTCCGTTAAGTTGTTAACTTTGTCTGATGTGGCAGTCAACTCTCAAAATAGATCGTTAATGACGTGGCAATTAAAAAATAATAAATAAAATTTAATTTTTTATCATTTCCAACTCATTTTCATAATAAAGTAAAATAAATAAAATACAAAAAAATTATTATAATTATCAAATGAAATTTCTCTAACAAAAAAAAAAAAAAATTCTCTACAACCCACGCACCCTAATTTCTTCTCCAGGGTTTTATCGGATCGCCCAATCTCCCATGAGAACCCCGTCGCTGCGCCCGCCACCACCACTACCGTCGACGGTCATGAGTCTAGTAGCAGGCTCCAACGAAAGATTCATCTGGGGTTCACTCAACCCCCGTAACCAGCGAACAATTCATTAGATCACCCACAACGTGGGTTGGTTTTGTGGGAAAAGGGGAAATGTGACCACAATGTGGGGGAATAGGGGATTAAATGAGTTTCGTGGGTTTAGTGGGTGGGATTGGGAAAACCCACCAAATGAGACAAATGGTGGGGGGAAGTGGCGGATGGGAAAGGACAACCTTCTTTTTTTTTTCTTCTTGATTTTAGCAAAGGCTTGTTTGGAAAGCTGTGTTTTTGTCCCCTCGTATTATTGTGATTTCGTCATTGATGATGTCATACTTAATTAGTGATGAAAAAAATATATCCAAATAAAAAAAAATATATCGAAATGTTCGTATTAATTAATTATCACTACGTACGTAATACTAATGATCATTATATGAAAATAAAGTTACAAAATCAATTATAAATTGATTTTAACAAAAAAGTACTAAACTGATTACTCACTTTTCCCACCACCACACTGTGAGTCCGTGACCAAATCATCAAATTTTCCCACTTTTCCCTCTTTTCCCACATTTCCGCCCACCCACATTGTGGATGGTCTTACATGCAAAAGGTGCTTGGGTTGTTTTATTATTAAGGTTGGGGGAGTTGAGGAAATTAATTGGATGCAAAGAAACCGATGTCGGAAAGAGCCAAGTATTATGCGGCACAACAAGCTTTGAAAAGCTGCCACCCCAACCCAACTCTGGTGTTCTGTTGCCGTGCTGCTTTGTCCGCTAACCTTAGTTCCCTTCTTCTCCGCCGCGACCTCAACCATTAGGACCTCAAAATCTCCAATCGACTCTTCCCTTAACTCGTCGTCGTCCTTATCCTGCCTCCGTTGCCCGCAGTTCCTGCAAAACCCAGCCGTAGAAGCGGGAATCGCAAAACAAACCTGAAAGTGAAATCGAAATGTTCATTTTCCCGGCAACCAAACAATAAATTGGAAAGGAGAAATTGATGGGGGAAAGGAAAAGAGGGGGGAGGAATGACTGACCAGAAGGCGTCGAAGTCGCGCTAGGAGGGGGAGTCGGAGCCCTAGGAGTTGGTGATGAGCGGGAACTCCGTGGGTGGGGCGACGACGTCTCGGCATTGCGCAGCGGCTGCGGTGAAAAAATGACGATGACAGCCCGGGATCAGTGGTCGGATGTGGTAATTGTAATAATTTGTTCATGTTTTATTTATTTTAGGGTTATAGGTATAAATTGTCCCTCTACTATGTAGTTTTATCAAACATGTCCCTCTATAATTTTTCACATCAAATCTACCCTCTACTACAACACTATTCTCAAATCTAACCTTCTGTTAAATAATCCGTCCGATTTCCGTTAAACACAATCAAATTAGGACCCAACAACCTAATATTACTAAATTGACTTCTGTTTTGTTTATTATACTTTAGGATAAATTTTTTTTATAATTTTCATTCTCTTCCCCCTTCCTCTCTCCCCATTCTTCGACGAACTGTACCCAATTCCCATCTCCTTCTTGTCGTGGATTGCCTTTTTCCTTCATCTAACTAGACTGTAATAACCAGGAGATATCACAATCGCTTTCAAATAATGTGGAGATCTAATAGGGTTTTAGCATCTCTATTTAACACTTACGCCGCCGCAATCAGCTACTTAGGGTATTTCTCGATCTGAACTTCTTCCAAATCAATGATTCTCGATGAACCCTTTTCAACGAATCCCTCCCTAAATTTTCTAATTTTCTCGATGGGCAAAGTCAGTAGTGGAACGAGGAAGAATGAGAGGTAGGGATGACAATGGGTCGGGTTGGGTCGGATTTTGCCAAACCCAAACCCAAATCCATGGGTTTATCTTTGAAAAAAACCCGGGGTAAAACCCACTGGGTTTGAAAAACTTAAACCCAACCCAACCCGTTGGGTATCCGCGGGTTCATGGGTACCCACAAGTTTTGTCGTAAAAAATTTACAATTACAAGTTCTTATCAAAATTAAAGTCAAATATCAATCTCTCAATACAACTTATCCATATATAAAACACCATTCTAGAAAATTCAAGCAAATCACAAATTAAAGATACAAATTGTTCAACACCAATCTAAAAAACTCAAAAAAATTGAAGCAAATCACAAATTTTCCATAAATAACATGTTTAATTGAAAGCTTCTTCCTTTCAATTAAGTTTCTTTACTCTCCACTCCATAACATCAACTTGATTCTACACAATTAAAAAGAAAAAATTAGACATGTCTCCACAAACATAAATAAGATTAGTTGTTTAGAATATTAAATATACCGAAAAAATTAATTATATGGGTGGGCGGGTACCCACGGGCCGGGGTTACCTAAACCCAAACCCAACCCAACCCGTTGAATAGTGAACGGGTTTAAACCCAAACCCGGCCCAAAACCCGTCAACACGGATTTTATCCGCGTTGACCGGGTTGGGTCGGGTGGGTACCCGTGGGTTCGGGTTTTGTTGCCATCCCTAATGAGAGGGTAATCTGGTTTGGCAGGGATTTTCGATCCTGGTCCCGCGGGCCTGTGTTTGTTCGAAATCGCAATCTGAACCTTTATACTCAATATATTTTCGATAGCATTTTCTCTTTTCCACGAGGGTTTCTGGACCAGGGAACTATTTTGTTTTGCCTTTCTTGTTTTTTGTTTTTTTTTTGTCAAAGGTAGCGGTAACAGTCAGTCATAAATCGAAGAAAGTAAAGCGCGGGAGTCGACTAATCGCCGAGCTCCCGATGAAAGGGATTTTTGTGCCACAAAATGGGCGGCCCTATTAAGTCGACGAGAGACAAAACAAAACGAAATAAAGCTGAATTGGGACGCCATTGCCTTTGTTTCTTCGAGAATCGCCCCACTCCGATCATTGTTTAATTGTAATGTTCATTGTAATGTTTGATGGAATCTTGTTTAATTGAATATGTTGTCTTCAATTTTGCTGGATGTGGTGTTGCTGGTGATGGATTCCAATCTTCACACGCAGTTAGGAAGTAAAAGAAAAGTAAATCCCGCTTTTTGTTTTATTTTTATAACTAATCCCTAATTCCAAAACACAAAGGAGGGTAATCTTTGTAATTTTCTGCAGTGAGATCACGGTTGGACTGGGATTAATATATTTTGGATGGAAAACTTAACGGAAGGGCATATTTGAGAATTGTGTTATAGTAAAAGGGTATAATTGATGTGAAAATTAGTAGAAGGGCATGTTTGAGAAAAATACATAGTAGAGGGGCAAATTATACATATGAAAATGAGTTGGAAATTGTAAAAGATTAAATTAAATTAATTTTTATTTGCCACGTCATTCAGTTAATGGTCAACTTTGAGAGTTGACTGTCACATCAGACAAAGTTAACGGAGCTAGACGGAAAGTGAACAAAATTGATTTATTTTAACTAATTTTAGTGACCACAAATGAAATTAAATATTTCTAGTAACCAAACGTGAACGTTTTTCGTGAGCCCAGTGACCAAACTTGCAATTAACCAGAAATTAAATACTAATTCGAAATTTCTCTCGTGTGCCATAGGGCATAGGATATTCCACGTCGGGAGCCGGGAGGACAAGGGAATAATTTAACCGACAGGTCGATCCCCGTTTCTAGACTCGCCGCCCTCCTGAACCAGAAACCTCCTCTCCGGCATATAGGGTTGCTGCTACTACTATCACAGTTTCCCGATCACCGCCCCTTTGGTCTCCGGCGAGCCCACCTAAGAACCTTAGCTCGTTTCACAGTCACCGGGAGCTCTTAGTAATTCAATAAAGTCGAAGCCCTCGTTTCTTCCCTATGGTGAACAGCGCTTTGTAGTCGCTTCGAAGGGCACTCGCTCGCGCAGAAAAAGCCGATTGTTTCCCATAGCTTCTTCATCCACCCATGGCGCTCCCTCTCGGCAAGTTAGTTATTCTTGCCGGTGCCGGTCAGTACAATCTACCCCTCCCTTGTTAATTTGTCAAAAAAAAAATTCTCTCCTTTGGCTGATCAGCTCTGGTGGAATCTGTACGCATTCTGGGAACCAATTACAGCTTGTAGCTCCTCAATTAGTTTGGTCATAGCTTCTAGAGCATTACAGCACAGCGATTTTAGGGTCTTGGTTAAACCTCAGGTTGACCCATGATTTTGGGTCTCGATGATCGCGACTGACAAATGTAGGAGTTTGGATGACTGTATTAGGGTTTTCGATTCTTGGTTTGATAGTCGACTCCGTATAGCTGTATGGTAGTGGTGGGTTTCTAGTTTGGTTCGAGGGCAATTACTGTGTTAACTGCAACTTTCCACTTGTATTGAAGTTGGCTTATCGTCGTAGCTAGCAGATAGTGGCTTGGTGGCAAACTGTTAACGAGCTCTCAAATAGTGTGCTTTAGTTATCAGTTGTCAGTCTTATTTAACTGTGACAAAGGGAATTTCTGTTGTTTCCAATCTTTAGAAGAATTTCTTGCTTAGTGGGCAATGCCAATAAGCATTTGGGTTCTCATGCACACAGTTTTTTTTTTTTTTATAATTCATAATCTTCCATCTGTTACAGCCGATGAGTAATGATAAACTCTTGTGTCATGTTTCTGTTTCCCTTGACCTGCAAAATTATTGCTTGTTCAGTATATAAATTTCTTTTCTTGAACAATGAGTTTTTTTGTTTCTGCCATTCTTAGGTCTTATTGGCGCTAGCACTGTTTATGGAAAAGATTCAGGCATTACTGATTGGCTTTTTGGAGCTAGCAAGGTGAGTGCCAAATAAAGATGTTAATTATGAGCTATAATTGTGTACCTACTGTTTCTCTGGTGATGTAGTATTCATTTCTATGCAATATCTAACATTAGCCATACACAAAGGAACAATTCGCTCTTACATGATCACATAGGTTGGTGCCAATTAAAATTCGCTGAATGTATACATGGAATGTGTGGTTCAGAAGGATCTCTTCTCTAGTTTCTATTCTGTCTAGAATTTGTTTGTGGTATCCTGTTTTCTCATGGATGTTTGTGCTGATTTGTTCTTCACAATAGATTTGGAAGCAGTTAAAGCAAGACACTGGATCTGGGAAAAAGCCACAAAATGATTCCTTGTTGGCACAGGTTTGCAATTCAATCTTACACATGTAGTGGGTGAATTAGGGTGGACTCTCGGCAATGCAGCTGTCCCACTTGTCTTTCTGCTAGATGTAAAAGCTTGCCTCCCTGGTGAAGCTATTCTACGTCCTTTCAAATGGATTTTATTTCGTTTATGCTCTTAGTCCTTCAGAATATTAACCCGAAAACCTGTTTTGTTCATTGTTTGTTTGGCGTTCTCTTTTGGAAGAGAAGAAGCCATGTATTTTCATTTCAAGTTTCCATTGCCAGTGTGGTTCTTATATTCACATATCAATACAGGTTAACAGTCTGAGGCAGGAACTGCAATTGTTAGCATCAAACGGACCAGTTACAATCATCACTTCAGGAGGAGCAGGTTTTAATACTTGCACATACAAATTACCTACTGTTTGTCCTAGATTGAATTTTTCAGATCAAGCTTTCCATTTCAAGAGTGTTTCGGTTGTTGTTAGATAATATTTACAATCTAAAGTTAAGTGATTTTTTGCAGTTGCAACCATTTGTTTCTGAACTTGGTTCTGTGATCTACAGGTGCTAACAAATATTATACAATCGTTGTGGTTGGAGTGATTGGCTATGGCTATGTTTGGTGGAAGGTAATAGCATTATTTGTTTGCTTTAACCATCTCAAGCTTGATAATGTACACGTCTTTTGAGTACTCTACCTCTATGAACATTGTGTTAGACTTAGGTAGTGATCTTTTCTTCACTGGATTTTTTTCTCTGGATTATTTCAGCACCAGTACTGGCCCCCCAACTTGGTGATTTTCTTATTTTCAGGGCTGGAAACTCCCTGATATGATGTTCGCTACAAGGCGTACTTTATCCGATGCCTGCAATTCGGTAGCCCAACAACTTGAAACTGTCTATGCTTCACTCCGGGTTGGTTTTCTTATTCTGGCCTTTGTTTTCTCATTGCAATTTCAAACAAGAGAGTTTTTGGTCTTCCTAATATGAATGTTCTATTGTTTAGACTACTAGGAAGGAGTTATCGGCAGGCATTTCAAACTTGGATACTAAGTTGATAGAGATTGAAAAATTTACAGACAGCACACAAGGAATAGTAAGTTTAATTAGCTGTACTTTTTGCTGTAAGTCAATGTTTATATGTTCATATGATATTCGCTTTATAAATGTGGCTTACATTCTTAGGTTGTTCGACTACGGGATGGATCAGGAAAAATTGGCAAGGACTTTCATTCTTTTAAGGAACGTGTTGAATCTCTGGTAAAATCTGCGTACTCCGTGTTTTTTCTCATGCAAACTATTTTCTTTGCTTAGGGTCGTAATTTGATGGCTCACGTCACTCTTTCCTGTTGTTGATTTCAGAAATCACGAGTCGATAAATTTGGAGTGAAGCAGGTGATTGTGGTGCTAACATTGTCTCTGGTAGAATTCGGGAGTGTTAGTAAATCTTTGTCCTTAACTTTTTATGGGCGTTTTGATTTCAGCAAGAGTCGTTGTCTGGAATACAGAGTCTGTTGGCCTTTGCGCACGAGGCTCAAACTGGATTGATCGATAATGGACAGGCATGTATCATTTTTGGATTATTGTTAGGCTAAAGCGTTTGGTATTTTTCCGACTTCCATTAGTTGCTTTCTTTCTGTAGAACTTATGGATTGTGGTGCATATATTCATCATATGTATGGTTAGGGGTAGTAAATGATTTAGTCCACACCGAAACATAACTCGTTTCGGTTTTTTCATTCTCAAAGTTCAAGTCCTTTTTTGGGTTTTGATTCCATAGATCCCCTTAAAAACAAAAGTAGGCAGAAAGAATTGAAATCAGACCAGACTGACTAGGTTCGAATGTCCCGAACTCTGGTCCTCAATTTTCTTTTGTTTTCAATATGTTCCTGTGCCGATTTGGTTGCATACTCTACTAGATTGGACCAAGCATATTCCTACTTATGGTGGTATGTACGTGTTCAATCTAGGGGTGTGCAGCTCCAGTCCAGTTCTGATCAGACAGAATCGGCATAGAGATAGAATAGGGAAAACAAGTAACAAACTTGAATTGAAAGCACAACCTTGGTGGTTTTTAAAATTAATGGAATCAAAACCAAATCAAACTATATGTGGTCCAGTTTGGTTTGATGGATGCAACTTTCATCGTTTGGCTCGTAGCATAGAAATGACATTCTGATTTTCTTTCATTGAATTGGCTGAGATTTCTGCAGACCTCGCGTTCTAGCTCATCACAGATTGCATTCTCCTCAATGGTAATACTTCTTAGTTTTTACGCCCTTCACTAGTTCACTATCCTATTCTTCAGTCTTTTGTCCTTGTAAGAAATCTCACTACTGCTTCTCTCTCTCTCTCGCTCTCCTGTCGGATTTCCAGAGGGCTTTGCCACCTGCTGCCGATGGACTATCGACAAGGCCTGCTACTTCCGATCCATCTCCTGAGGTTGAACAAACTCCTCGAAGAGTTGTATCGTCACCCTCTACTCAGCAGGTCAAACCCCACGATCTTTCTACCTGATTCTGATTCTACGTGTGTTCATGAACTGTCATCAATGTGCTAATTCAACTCTTGTCCAACAGGGTAACGGGGTTGCTGACGTTACTGAGTTGACCAGTCAAGGCATTTGGAACGGTATTTTTACTCCAGAAGTAACGAATGGAGGAGAGTCTTCAGTTCTGCAGAGACCATCATTTCTCTCGAGAGCTTTCAGCAGCGTCACAGGCACAGTACTAAGACGACCTGGAGGTGAATGAGAGATTTCTCTTAAAAGGGAAGTTCATAAAAGTTTAGTCATCGTTCCCTGAGAGATTTCTTCTATCTTAGCACCCACCCTAGCAAATTTTTGTAGAGGATGTCGTTAACACTTTTAAGATTATCAAAGAAAGCCCTTTTCCTGGCTATGTAAAGGTTTATTATTACTAGGAGTTTAGACACTAGTGACTAGACTTAAAAGAAATTCAAATTACTAGAGAGAAGCGGCAGGACAGTCACACAGCATTTGATCTGTAACTCATTTTAAGTTTTAACTGCTTTCCTGTGCTAGATGAAACAAAAAGAAAAGTAAAATAATACAGCATAATTATTAATGTTTTGGATTTTTCTCATCCATCATTAGTTGGACAAACAAAAATGTGTGCCTCTGCAGCGTTTCTGTTTCTGGTTTTTAATTTTTCTCATTGGATTAGAGCCTGGTAATGGCATGGAGGTTGTCTCTTTTCTTTTGCCCTTCGTTTGGAAGAATTGAGTTGAGAGAGACATTATCAAAAGAAAGTAGTCAATTCTTGATAAAAAAAATACCACATCTGATCACTGAGATTACTAGTAAATTGTGTCATGTTTAGTCATTAGAAAAATTCAATATCAATTTTGGTCACTCAAATTACCGAATCAGGTCACATTGGTCACTCCCCTGTAGCTTCTGTGCAACTCTGGTTACTCGAATTATTGAAACATGTTACATTTAGTTACTCAAATTACTGAAACATGTCATATTTATGCACTCTCCCGTTAGTTTCCGTCCAACTCCATGACCAGTTTCAGTAATTCGAGTGACCAAAATTGATATTAAATTTTTCTAGTCAATAAACATGACACGATTTAGTAATCTCAGTGACCAAATGTGGTATTTATAAAAAAATTTGTCAAGACGCATGGGCCTTATTCTGGGAAGAGAATGGGCCGAAAGGATCCAGCCCATCCCCTCGCGTTGTGAAATGAAAATCCACAAAGCGAGTTCTTCTCTTCCCAAAGCCCAATCTTTTTCCCGCCAGTACAGCTGTTCCCTTAGCGCCATTGGCCGTCTGACAATGAGAGCAAGATCCTGGAGAAAACTCAAATTTACTGACCGGCCTAATCATTCCCTCTTTCAAATCTTCCGAGAGAAAATTATCCCCTCTTTCTGGCCACTGTATCTCTCTCTTCTTTTCGGCAGTCGCCGTTGCATCACTCTTTCTCCATTCTCACCTCTCGCGCCGGCGTTCCGTTCATCCGCCGCTTGTGAGAAATAAAAATGGAAATAGTTCGTCGTCCTCAACTGAAGTCTACTGCAATCGACCGTGGAGTTCCAACTCTTCCTCTTTACCGCACGACTCCATCTCTCGAAGTTCGGCTCGATGATTTTGAGCTCTACGCCATAGATCGGCTCCGAGGTATTCCGTGGCTATATATTGTTTTCGACTCGATTGATTTCCCTAACTAACTCTCGGTGTTTTAATTTGGAGTGCTCACGGGGATTTCCGATGGATTGTCTCGCGGGAAGAGGTCCGAGGAAATGGAGAAACTGGTGACAGCAATGGCCTGGATTTTCCGGCCAGTTAGGTTTTTGAAACTGAAAATTTTTCGACGAGCTTCTAATTGATTTCCCCCTTTGCAGGTCGCGGAACTGTGGAAAGCGAATATGAGGCATCCGCAGGCGTCGGAGCTCATGAGCAAGGACATCATTTCTCATTTCGTTCTCCGTCTTGTGTACTGTAGAACGTATGCAGATTCCTCTTCCGCCGCTTGCTCTCTCTCTCGATTACTATTGTTTCCATTTCATTGCTCAATGTGTTCGGATTCTTGCTAACAGGGAGGACTTACGGAAGTGGTTTCTCTCCATGGAGACGGCTCTATTCCGGTATAGGTTCCGCCTTCAGAGTGCCGAGGCTCAGGTGATGACAATGAGATTTTTTGGTGAAACCTTGGCTTCTCTGGGGATCATTTGTTAATTGAGTTGGTTGTGAATTCACAGAGGGCTGCACTGGCTGAGTTCCAACTTCCTTACAAGGCAGTCACTGCTGCAGAGTTTGAGGTGATTGGTGCTTCTACTCTCCTGTCTGAATTCAAGTTTCAGCAGAGAGCTAAGTAGATTTCCAAAATTTGAATATGGAGTCATGAGATTCTTTCCTTTGGCAGGCTATAAAGGACAAGCTGACTCTGGTTGCCCGCTCAATCAACCAAACGTTACCTGCAGCGGATTCTATATTCTACAAGGTATGTTCCTCGAGTTCTTGGAGCTGGTATAGCATTAATTCTTCATGTCCTGGGGTCATAGGGGCTCGATTAGAAGAGTTTTGCACATGATTTACATCGTATTGTTGATCTAGCATGACGTATGTTGTTCTTCCATTTGATGATATTTAGAGGGAAGCAGTTGGGAATAGGTTACTCTAGAAATCACCGTATCATATGTGTAGGAAAGAACGCTTGCTTTACCTTGAGAGTGAGTATTCTCATATTGTTTCATATATCCTTTGCACTTATTATAAACCCGCTGCTGAAGGTTCCATTTCAAGAAGTTCCTGAACTTGTGGCTGGCCGTAGAGTTTTTCTCAGCGATGGGTATGCTTATGTTGCCATGATTCAGGTAATGCATTTCTCACATCTACAAAAGTTTGTCTCATTGGCATCCTCGAATTTTATTGAAGTTAGTCCTATCCCACATTGTAGGTCGTGTCGCTTGTGGCCACTCAGTTTCGAAGTCTTCTCTCAAAGGCGCTCACTCTAACTAACAGGTTTGTGTTTTCTATATGAGAGCCTCTAGGTGAATGGAGTCAGAAGGTTCAGCCTCGGAAGACTTTTCACTACATTAGATGCTTATATCTCTCTCTGGTATTCGTGGTAACCTTAAATTTTATGAATTCAATGCAACTTTTGTTTCCAGGAAATGGATGTCTACCATTAGAGAACAGGAGAAGGATAGGTTAACCCCTGTGAGCAATCAATCACGAGAACTAGAGGCTCGGTTGGTATTCAATTTTCACTTCATTGCTGAACGTTCTCTTGATTGTTTTCGTTAGATTGTGGAAGCCTTATCAACGAGCTACGTGGGTCCTGACTATTCTGTGGTACTTCCCACACCTCTGCACATGCTTGCAAGTATCCCTCAAAATGCAGTCGATGACCATTAACTTTTTATAACCATATGGAACATCTTTCCAGGGAAGGGAATTTGGTGAAGTGTCGCTCAAAGACATCGATAATGTGGCCAAGAACTCGTTTCCTTTGTGCATGCGCCATCTATTCGACAAAGTAAGTTGTTCTGTTGGCTTACGGCTATTTTCTCAGCGACCTGGCTGGCTTTGATTGTAGTTCATCACGTTACTTCCTCCCACCCTTAGCCTTGGGGGGTCTAGCTTTTTTATAATTGGTTCTTTGTGTTCTGTTGGGCAGCTTAGAGAGGATCATCATCTAAAGCATTGGGGGAGAATGCAATTGGGTCTCTTTCTCAAGGTTTTTCTTAACTCCATTGTCTAAAGAATATGGTCTGTTCATGGACTTCATATGGAAACTGCCACACTCCTTAACATAGGCTTTCACTTATTATGCAACTCGCGCACAGTATGCTTTCTAAATCTGTTAAAAATGGATGAAGATACATTGATTGCAGTCTCTACATTTTTACATGCAGCAGCCTAAGGCATTGTTTCTAAATATATCATCGCTGAAAACATTACTCACTGGTTAAGTTCTTCATGTTAGGGTGTCGGGCTGAAGTTGGATGATGCGGTTGCATTCTGGAAGGCAGAGTTCTCTCAAAAGGTAAGCTAATCCCAAGCATTTGCACGAGGAACATCCCTGAATTACATTTAATCAAGTAATCTAACACGTTTTGTGACAGGTTGGAGCAGAGAGATTTGACAAAGAATATGCATACAGCATTCGACACAATTATGGCAAAGAAGGGAAACGAGTAGTGAGTTTCCGATGTTATATCAGTCTTCTTCCTTTCAAGTAGTAGTAAATCAGATTACAGGACAGACCTCAGTTACGTATACGCTTCTTTGTGTTTGGTTAATGCAGGACTATACGCCTTACTCATGTCAAAAGATCATCTCATTGACTCCTAGTGTAGGAGATCATCACGGATGCCCTTATCGGCATTTTAGGTAAACTCCATTAACTTATTCCCTACAGGTCCTTTCTGTCATCTCATGGAACTGGTCACTATAGTCATTTTATCCGACCTCAACTTGATTGACGATGATCCAATCAATCATTTTCGATCAAGTCTAAGCTTGTTAGAAACCGATTTCTGTAGGGTTTCTTTATTTATTAATATAATTATTATTAGGGTAATTATCAAAAAGGTTAGTAGTCATTTAATAGAATTAGGTTTATTATTAGGGTTTCCTAGAATTCCCTATAAATTTGTACTTTACATATTCATTCGGTATCAATAAGAAGCGTATTAAGAAAATCCCTAAACCTTATTCTCTCCCAAATCCTCTCAATTTCTGTTCTTTCCCTAATCTGGCCGCCGGCCATTCTTTCTCGTTCTTTCCCAAATTCTACCTCTTAATCCCAAATTCTCTTCTCAAATCCCTAAATCCCCAATTCTATTCTATAAACCCTAAATTCCCAATTTCTAGATCTGATTTAGAAACTCGTTAGAAACTTTGTTTCTAACATTTGGTATCAGAGCCCGGTTCGAGAATTGAGTTCGCCGCAACTCTCAACCGGGGACGAGTTCTACAACTGGTTAGATGATGAGCTATTCAAAGCTCTCGAACCTATCGTGGACAGAGCTGCGTGACCGGGCTCGACGCATCGGACGCCGTTGGAGCTCCGAAGAGTCGCCGACCGTGCAAGCAGAGACGGTGACCCGAATCGCCGACGGCGAGCGACCACCAATGTCTGCCGAGACCGACGAAGCGATGGAAGTCACCGTTGAAGGAAGCGACACGGAACCGGTGATGGAGGAGGAGGCTATGGACGGAGAACCTGATGCTAAGCTCATAAACCAGCAGCAGCTACTGCCGACATCAGCCATGACACTGGACCACCTCACCGCAATGCCGTCACCACTATCCACGAAGGCTAAGTCAAGGTCAACCACAGAACGTGCCTTGGCGGTTATATCCACCGCGATGTTAGAGCTGAAACCAATCATCACCACCACGGTTGGACTAGTTGGTACCGTGACCCCAAGCATGGCAGCAAGGGCCGAAAAGAAGAGGAACATCACTGTTGAGGCAAAAGGGGAAGGAGACTGTGTTGCAACCGAAGATGAGAATTTGGCTGGAGATGTAGAGAAAGGACCGACCTTGGCTAGCTTTGCAAATTGGAGATACAGGAGGAAGAAACGAAGGGCAGACGAGGAGCGCGGAGCAGAAAAGCAGAGCAAAGAAGCACCCTCGCCATCTGCGATGCCGGGGATGGAGTTGAGAGCGACGAAAGAAACGGGCTCGCATCCTAACAGCCGACGGGTGGCCTGTTCTTCATCGGGGAAGAAGTCGGCAAGGGAGTTGGCAGTTGACCGAAAGAAGCAGGAAACGAGTTCACTGTCGGAGCAAGGTCGCCGGGACTCGTCGCAAATCGCGCAAGAGACTCCGCGATCTGCGGCAAACCCAATCGCGGTGACGAGGAACCCAAGATCGAATTTGCCTTCCCACTCAACCAATCGGAGCTTTGGGGAGAGAAGTTGAAAGCGACGATCGAGAATAAGATGACCAGGAGATCTGAAGCGATGCTTGAGGGTTGCACGACAACTCTAGGCGTGCACGGGACGACGGAGCCGATGAGAAGTTCGCCGCGGGAGACGAAGGACTGGATGGGGGAGCTGAAGGCGACGGCGGATCGGGGCTCGCCTCGTCGGATGAGGAAGACCTCGACGAAGAACGAGGATCTGGTGGAAGACTTGTCGACGGAGGCAGAGGCGAGGGGAAATCCGTCGGAGCCGAGTCGTGTGAAGCCGGGGTCGACTTCTCGTTGCCTGGCGCGCTGCTCGTTGCCGGAGAAGGACCAGCCGGCGATTGAGAAGGTGAAGGAGGGCGGCGGGTTCAATCCTCTCGCTTACCCTAGGATGCTAACCCTGGGCTTCACCGATTGTTCGGGCCGTGTTGCGGATCGGGCCCCCAGTCTAGATGGGCCAAGTGTTGCGGACGGTAAAGAGGAGAAGAGAGCTAGCAGGCTCATCTTGGTTGGGCCCAAACCGCGGGGCGCAGCGCATTCAAGTGGGCCGAGTAGCGTTGGCCTCGGCCGCGGGCTCGAAAGGAAAGAAGAGATTCTTGGGCTCAACTCTGATCTAATGGCGAGGTTGTGTGGGCCGCAGAAGATGGGAAATCAGGATGATCTAGGGTCACTTAATGGGCAGAGACTTGAGGAAGTTGGGCCAACGGTAATGGGCAATTTTGTGGAGAAAGGCAAAATAAGCCTGAATCAAGGGGTGGACTTAAAGGAGAAGGAAAATGGATCTTTGGCCTTAGCAAATGTTGTGACGATTGAGCTTAAAAGAGTTGAGTCTCTTTTATATGATGTGGTCTTCAAAGAGAAAGAAGATGAATTCGTGGGTTTAGATGGTGGGCTCAAGGAAGAACAACTTTTCGATTCTTACTTTGTGGACTTTGAAAAGGAGGGTGGAGATTTATTTGGTCATGGTTGCGACATGATCCACATGGGTAAGGAAGAAGCAAGGGGAGCCGAAGTTGCTGGTATGGGATTCATTCAAGTAGTGGAGCCCGATTGGAAGAAAAGAAAGCGCAAGAAGAATGTGGATTACACGAGGGACGTGGAAGAGTGGGTCAATTATTAATATAATTATTATTAGGGTAATTATCAAAAAGGTTAGTAGTCATTTAATAGAATTAGGTTTATTATTAGGGTTTCCTAGAATTCCCTATAAATATGTACTTTACATATTCATTCGGTATCAATAAGAAGTGTATTAAGAAAATCCCTAAACCTTATTCTCTCCCAAATCCTCTCAATTTCTGTTCTTTCCCTAATCTGGCCGCCGGCCATTCTTTCTCGTTCTTTCCCAAATTCTATCTCTTAATCCCAAATTCTCTTCTCAAATCCCTAAATCCCCAATTCTATTCTATAAACCCTAAATTCCCAATTTCTAGATCTGATCTAGAAACCCGTTAGAAACTTTGTTTCTAACAAAGCTCCACATGAACTTTTAGTCTCCAACTATAAACTATTTTCAGCCTTGTGTTCTAGCTTACAACCCATCTGGAATCGATTTGATTTCTCGTACTCCAATTTAAAATCAGGTGTATGGAACAAGTCTAATGGAAATGGATTTGCTGTGTTTCTATAAATAAGAGTGAGGTTCTTTCTAAAAAGAGAAAGTAGTCGGCAAACAAAAAAAAAACAGAGTGAGGTTCATCCATTTCAATTTCTTTTATCGGACAAAGCATGTATAATAGAATAAATGAATTTAAAGAAATCCCGTATTATACAAGTGGAATAAGGGTTCATGTCATGTAAAAATTATAGTTTGGTTTGCAATTGTTGTGGTGAATTATTGAAATTTTTGAACTACCAAGTATTGTGAGAATACATACAACCATATTAATTTTAACACGATATAAGTCTGAATCACATAATTTTGTAGCAAACTAAAACCACCAAAATGTGAAAAGATGTATATTTTACAAGTGGAATAGAAATAGTTCATGTCATGTCAAAATTATTGTTTGGTTTGCAATAATAGACAACATACATGATTGTCATCGGAACTCTTAATCAATTCCTAACAGTACAACTTTTGATAGTCATAGGAAACGTCAAGTAGAACTCTGTGTTTCCTAATTTTCAACCTTTCCCTGCAACATAACCAGGAAATGTATCAGGAAATGGAGGAATTCGGTTTGAGATAAACAGAAATTACGGTTTTGTTGGTTCCAACTTCCAAGCTAACCGTTAACTTCAAAGCTTCTTGTTTATTTTGTGATATCTGGGCCACATTCTCTTGTCAAATCTCTTAACCTTGCTACTGTTTAACATGGTTCCGATAGTGAAGAGAAGTTAAGAGCGGCACTGCGTAAGATGGGAGTAAGCAGTGGCGGGATGGAGGATGTGATGGACAAAGTGCGACACAAGCACTATCAGGTCAATCTCAATGATCGTTCTGATTTTGCTCTTTGTAAGCTTGCTTTTACCCTCGTCATTTAACCAAACATTGCTCCTGCCTGCGCAGTTGGCATGCACGTTAACGTTCGAAGCCATCCATGGGTGTCCAAACGACGCTGGAATTAACCATCCCAATCAGTACTTCAGCGACAGCCAGAAGATGCTAAAGTCCAAGGTGAATGCCTGACAATTATATATTTCGTCTTCTTACCAGCGTCATTGATTCGGAATTCCCACCCATTTCATCGGTGCAGAGTTTGCCACAGAGTACATGGATAGTCGGTTTCATCTGAGTGCCTTCATAATTACTTTGGTGGACCTGGTTTCTTTGTCTGCATTGCATTTGCATAGTCATAAATTGATGTGTCAGATGGTGTTACGCGCTTCTACTCCCCACAGCTCGGGTCGCGTGAAATTCTTCCAGGGTGGAAGTGGAACCCTACTTTGGCTGTTTTCCCAGAATTTAGGAAGCAGCCAATAATGACGTCTTATTTCATCGACATAATAATTAAATCTTGTTAACCAACCTCTGCTCGTTGGTTCCACTTAGCCTTTAATTCACACATTAAATATGAATACTGGTGAATCTGGTCCATAAACTTGCATGCTAAGTCTACCTCTATTGTACTTTTTTTTTTTGTTGTTGTTGGTTAAAGGCCATATTGATTATTGGGTCCAGCGAAAGTTCCAAGTACGTCATTTTAAATTGCATGAAGGAATTGGGAATTTTGTTAATGACTTGCAGGTTCCTTCGATCGCCTAGTATAAGCTTTATTAGCTTATACTAATTGTGATTTCGGTGGTTCGCCACATCAGGTCTTTTCCAGGTATGTTATTATTCTAATGAACCTAAACCGCCCGTTCAAAAAATCCGGTTAGCCCCATTCTATTGCTTTGTCATGTTAGCAGTCACTGTGTCACTCTTTTACGATTGGATATAATTTGGTGATTTGAGTATGTTAGATTGTGTTTTATGTAAACTTAAGTGATCATTTTCTTAGTCATCCAAAAAGTTAGTGGCTACATATATATAACTGTCATAAATCAATTGGTCTCAATAACTCGAGTTGTTAAAAAAAAGTTATACTGGATCTATACCACTTTCTGACATGACAATTTACTGAATCTGTATTTTGATCTTGATCTGTGGCCTCACTTATTGTTAGAGCTGTGACTTTGTGAGGACTGGAAGTGCAACCCGGCCACGTGTTGTATGTTTGAACCAGTGACCCGGCAGGGGAAGCAACTTTTGTCTAGTGGCTGACGCAGTTCTTACTGACTTGTTGCCTTCTTCCATTATTGTTCTCTCTTGAGAGTCTAGGTCTCTAGGACCATTGGGTTTTTGCTAGTCGTGGAGAAGACGTCTTTTAACGTTTTGAGGCTCTGATTATATAATTGAAGCCATTGATTTTAGGGCCGGATATTTGGTCTGGGCTATTTAGGTTTACCCGAAATTGGATTGTATAACTCGGATTGAAACCAGATCAGATTCGGATAGCAAATAATCCAATCCAATTCAATCTTTGGGCTTAGATTTAGGTGAAAAATTGTTTAGGACCGGATCGAAAACCAGATAAAGATCGGATAAGAGAGCCCAACACTCAAAATGTAACCAACTCTTCACCCTTTGAGTCCTCAGGTCACTCAAATCCCCACAAACTCAATCTAAAATCAATACCGAATTGGGACCGAACCAGGTCAAGACCGAACTGTATCCAATCCAATCTTCGATCCTTATATTCTCGAAAAGACTGGACTGAGACTGGATCAATTTGAGTCAATTTAACCGGACTGTATAGCCACCCCTAATTGATTTCACGCTGGAGGACGACTCAACCCCAATAAAATGGGTGCCGACAGCCCAAATGGTAGTTTCTGTATGAGGACAGCACAATGGTTGTTGTTGTTGTTGACCGCCTCGCCTCACTTTTCGTTTTCAATCAAATTTCTTTACTGGCCCCACTTAGTAAGTAATGGGTCACATCGTAGGATGGGGATTAGTTTAAGATTAGTTGGCTGTAGGTGATTTGGGTGGTTAAACTGAAAGTTACGTACTCTAGGTTGGTATTATGGTATACCCAAAATAGAAGTAAATACATATATCCCATCTAACCCCGAGAAACACCTATGGTTGATTCTAATTGCATGTTGTTTTACTTTGCCATTTGTAAAAACCTATTTGTTTAGGGTGCTTTTTTAATTTTTTACATTGCATTATCATGGTGCTATTGTTGAGATTGGCCGAGATGTTTGAATCATACTTTGATGTACTGTGAAGCCTTGACGAAAAAATTGTGTATTTGTATTCCAGTTAACAAACAGGGAAAATATGATAAGTACGCATACATAGCCGGTAGAACATGATACACTGGAAAGAGAGATATGTGCTCTTCTTCTTCCTTGACCTTGCACAAGCTGCGTATTGGGACATACATATACTAGTAGTATATGAAAAGGAGCCCACAGGTTTAGAAAATTAGAATAGATAAATGATTGTTTGTTGCTTTTTTATTTTTTTAAGTTTCAGTGTGGGTCGTATCCTAAACCAACCGTGACCATGCCACTTATAGTTTTACGTGATAAACTAATCGTCTGCTTCAGTGCTTCTGTTAAACTAATAGTGCTAGTGTTTTGATGCATCATTATAGTGGGGTCCATGAGGTTAGATTAAAGAAGAAGAAAAAAACTTTGTATTAGGGGGGGATTGTTAGGAATAGACAGATGTGGAAGTGTAGCTTAGTGGAGGAATTGGATGTAAAGCTAAATAGTTTATGATTTCTCTTACTGTTTAAAAGATTAAGGGAAATAGCTTTTACCAAACCAGTGTTTAGCTTTTGTTAGGTGCTCTACTTGGACCTTTACATTCCTTTTGTGGAAAGGTGTTGAGGGAAGTTATTAAACAAGTTGTAAAATCATTGAAGTACTGATTTATATTATCTTTTTGGAAATTTATACTAGTTAGTTAAGGATTTTGATCTTTTAGGGAAGGGTAAAAAAGTCTAGGAAGTTCGTTATGATTCTTGCTAACTCAATATTTAAGATTTTTAATGGATTAAAACTAGAAAATCCAAGCGTTGGGTTGTTGTATTGAGTATTGTTGAACTTCTTAATCTTTGTCAGGTTGTCTGTTATTCTTGAATGATGATACGATGATAAAGATATCAAAAATACAATTTGGTTGTGGTTAGGAGCGGAGCCAGGATTTCGAGATGGGGAGGGGGGTTGAATAATTGAAAAAAATTATGTAACAAATGTGGATCGAACCCATCTGCTTTATGAAATAAGGATTTCGAGATGGGTAGGGGGGTTGAATAATTAAAAAAAATTATCTAACAAATGTGGATCGAACTCATGTGCTTTATGAAATAAGTTATTATGAAATAAGTTAAGCTTGGCAACCATTAGACCACATAACTATTACATGATAAAATTTGCAGAACAAGTTCTACTTATAAAATTTGTACTAAATATCCTCACGGACCTAGGGGCCGGGACCAATCCTAGCTACAATGTAGCTTTGCCTCTGGTTGTGGTACTTGCGTACTATAAAAGATTACGTTTATTTAATAATTGTGATTCTTCGAAATGCACGATCGATTATATGAACACGTTTTTATGTCAAGATTTTAGGGATTCTAAATATGCATCAATCTATGAAGGTTAATAAATGAAAAGAATTCCGGTAAAATTCTCGAATGAATATGTGAAAGAAGAGAACTAAAGGAAGAAATTCAATTTACCCAAACTCCAACCAAAGTCTAACAATAAAATGGAGGAAACATGCATATGCATTGCTACTTTCCTTTTCTCTAACCTGTTTGGGACTTGAGAGAGAGCGTCTGTCTGTTGGTCATAAGAGTAAAATGATGGCTGGTTTCCATATTCGTAAATTCTTGCTTTAAAACAAACCATGATGGGATTCTCCAACCTAAAAGGGTTAGGGAGAAGCAGGGGCGGGGCGGATACATGAGGGACACCCCTAAAATTTGGGAATACGATTATTCAATCCCCGGTAATAGTTTTGTATGGATAAAAAAATTATAATTAGTGGTTTGGGACACCCTACAACGATAATACTATCCTCAGTAGTAGTTTGCGTATACTTAAAAAAAATAAGCGATAGTCTGTGTTATTCAAACTTAGGATATACTATATTTTTTAAACATTGTCCTCCATTAAGTTGCAACTCATTTGCTGTTCTATTTTAAACACTACATAATAGTAAAAAGTTATTCCTTATCCCCGACTATTTCCAAAACCTAACAATTAAACTAATTACGGGCTACCCTTAATTTGAATTGATTTTATGGTTACACAACAAGTGTTGAAAGAGTCTTTTCAACTTTGAGTTACATCAATAACAAGGTTAGAAATTCATATGCGATCAGTTCGTGAACTATTGTCTAGTAGGATATACAGATTTGTTGAGCAATTTACCAAGCCTATTTTTTATTCTTTTTCAGAATATAAAAACACGTCGTCGTGGCCTTATGTGAAAATTTGTACTAGTCTGATATTTTTTTATTTATGAATTTTTTTTTAAGAGGACACCCCTGTTAAAATTTTCTAGATCCGCCACTGGGGAGAAGTGAGTTGAGACAAACCACATAGAAAAGTAGGAACTAGGAAGGAAATAAGTTAGCTAAGAAATAAATTATTCTTTCCACGGCCTAACTAACTAGGGTAGGGAATCCATACCAAACAGTCCGTATGAGAATTACGGTAATTAGATAGTTTGGTTCAGATTACGAAACTAGAAGCACGACATGGAATGGTTGACTGTCATCAATGTTAGTATGTGGTCTGAAATGATTCGGGCCATTATAAACGGGGTAAAATCGTTGCAAATTGTGTGATCTGCTACTCACTAACTCAAACTAGTTAAAATAATACCAAATCTTCACTTATGCATTTCGAGAGAACCATCCGCGAGCTTGATCAATTCGCGGCTATGGGCAGTACAAGCACAGTAAACTTGTTGATTCATCATCCAGTTTTTTTTTTTTTTTTAATAAGGTGATTCATCATCCAAGCAACTCCATCGTTAGATCCAGATTGTGAGACAAGAGCGCCACAGTCTTGTTTGATTGACAGTCTCTCAAGTTAGTGTGTGGTCTGAAGTGGTATGGACCACAATAATTCAGCATTAAACTATAATCTAAGGCAATCTGAAACTATAAAATTAAACGAACTAAAATTATATTTACTAACTTATCTGATACAACTTACCGCACTGGGTCAAATCGGTCAAATGAGAATGTGAAACAAGGTCGCACCCAACAGCTTAAGGGTTGACGTTGACTCGACGACTCTCAAGTCCTAAATGCTAAAATTAGCTCTTGGGAACTTGTACGGCCCAAAAACGGAGCAACCAACTAAGTCTAGTTGGTGAGTTCCCATACGAACCAGAACCCGAGACTAGCAAGTAACCATAATCATACGACATGTAACCAGGCTGAGGAAAACGACAGACACAGATCGAGTTATATATTTGGAATTGGACTGAGAACAGAGTTCCATTCCATCGAGTTACGACAAGAAGAAGAAGAAGGGGAAGCATCCTGCAACGTGGAACACAAGAAATTAAACTCCCTCCCTCTCTCTCTCTCTCACTAATTTCCCCCTCTTCTCTCTCTCTCTCTCTCACTTACCAAAAGTTGAAAGCAACTGCTCCATCTTCCTTTCCTCACCACTCCTTTTTTTCACTTCTTCTCACCCCTGCTACTTTCACTCGTTTTGGTTTGGTTTGTTCATAATTATTGGCTGTCAGTTCAATCCGACGACTACGATTCTAAACTGGGTGATTTGTATGAAACATTAACACACAGTTATTAACATCATAAAAACATGGTTAATATGAGATTTAAACCACGCAAGCACTTCACATAATTCCATGTCACATAATAAATATCCAGATAAGAAAAGCACCAGCAAAGGGAGAATAGCTCAATTTAAACTTACCCACTCATAATTAGTCCCCCTTTAAGTAAGTGATTAACACGTTTTTGTGAGAGAAAACTATAATTTTCTATCTCTGAGTCTCTCTTCTATCTCTGCTCCTAACCCTTCTCTTTTCTTTGTTAGTTGAAATCATTATGGTCACAAGGCTACACGGAAAAGCCAAAAGGGGAAGGAGGGCAGTGACGAACCAGGGGAACAGCTAGCCCTCTTTCACCTCCATTTCCATTTCCATTTCCATTGCATACACTTCAAAAGCTGTTCACATTATCCACTTTCCCTTCTCTTCTCACTCTGCAATAATTCCACTTCCCCCAACTTCCTTCCAGCTCTCAATATCAATATACACCCCTTTTTCAGACAAAAGAAAGGAAAAAAACGAAACTCTTTTGTTGATTGATCAAGTATTTCTGTTTCTTGTCAGTGAAAATAAAGGCTACTGTTGCTACTTTCAACTACTACTGCCAATAACACTCATTACTTCTCCATCCCCTTCTTCTCCCTTCACCATTGATTATGTTGCTTCCTACTAACTAGAAGAGCTACGACTCTCTCTCCTATCGCCATCTCTTCATTTATATGCCCTGCGAAAAGCTCTTTCCTTTCTCTACTTTCTGGCGAAGTTACCAGCTTGGAGGTGTTTTTATTTCTTACCAAGATTGCACCTTTCTTTACTTCCAGCTCCTCTCTCAGGTACCCATTTACCAACTCTGCTCAAATTTTTACCGTGTGTCAGTAAATCTTTTCTGGGTTGGTTCTCTATGCATGGCCTTAGTTGGCAAACATTGGAAACCCAAATGAAAGGAGGATCAATAAGAGCTTGAAGTTGCAGCTTTTTTCTTTGTAAAAGAAGTTGCAAGCTGTTGGCACAAATTTCAGATGCTATAGTTGGCGTAATTTGACACTTCTCCAACACAAACTTTCATCTCTTTTGTTTATGCAAAATATGGTATTACCAAGCTTGCTATGATAGGAATCACAATTACTGTCAGTTCCTTAGAGAGAGAGGGAGAGAGATATCTTTAACTTCATTTTTTACAGGCAGCTTGCCTTTGAGTTGTGGCTGGGATTAGATGGCTGACTCCATTGATGTGACAAGTTTTCAGTCTCTTTTTTCCAATTGGGTATCAAAAAGATTGGTACTTTATTGCTGCAAAGCTCTCTCATTTACTTGTTGTGGCCCCCTTGCCCCCTTTCACCCTGCAATTTTACCCCCTACAAGCCCTTCCATCACAAACAACTTGCTCTATATTAGAGACCGAGTCTGGTAAATTGAGCTGCACTTGTTCATTCCTAAAGAAAAAAAAAAGGAAGATAGTCTTAATACAGATGATCATTTTGGGTTGCAGTGTGTAGCTTTGCTCCTCAAGTACACAAGAATGTTCCTCTTTCCATGGGTTGTAATTTCAAGGACCCGTTTGGTTTAGCAGCCGGGTTTGGTGAACCAAGCATCTCTCAGTTTCTAGTGCCTGATCAAAGGTCTGAACTTTACTCGGTGGATCTGAAGCTTGGAAGGAGCTTTGGTCCAGGTGAGAAGACAGTAGAGTGCTGTTTTTCCTCTGCTTCTTCTTCAGGGGACTCTGCCATGGAATCTTCATCTTTGGGACCGTCGAAGAGAGCTAGGTTGCCTAGCAATGGAACCCAAATCCCATCTTGTTTGGTTGATGGTTGCACTGCAGACCTTGGCAAATGCAGAGATTACCACCGACGGCATAAGGTCTGTGAGGTCCACTCGAAAACCGCCAGAGTTTTCATTAAGGGCCATGAACAACGCTTCTGCCAGCAGTGTAGCAGGTTAACCAGTTTCCCTCTGATTTTCATTTCTTAATGTGCTATTAGCTCCAAGTTTCGAACTCAGAGTGAAGTTTTTGAGTTTTGTTAATGATCCTTAAGGCCTTTGTTTCCATTGATTGTGAGTTTCTGTTTTAATTACTGTATAGGTTCCACTCGTTAGGAGAATTTGATGAAGGGAAAAGGAGCTGCAGAAAGCGACTTGATGGGCACAACAGAAGAAGAAGGAAGCCTCAGCCTGATTCCCTCTCTATGAATTCCGCCAGGCTTTTCTCTGATCACCATGGTACACTACGTCATTCTCTTAAACAATCATGTGAATTGCACAATTATATATAAAAAAAAGATTACCAACTATTTAGGTAGTAATCAGAAGGCAAAGCAACCAGCTCTTTGTGGGTTCTAGTCCTGGCTGTGTCGATAGATGTTCCACCACTTTATGAGTTAGTGAATTGATGTTGGGTTTGGTAAAGACATAAACTTTTTGCCATACCGATTGCAGCAGGTACAAGATATTTGCAGTTTGGCAGCTCACAGATCTTCTCAACCACAGTTGCTGCAACTTCACATTGGCATGCTGGCTCCATTAAATCTGAGAATGAGTCAGTCCTAGATTACAGTAACAACACCAGCAGCAGCAGCAGCAGACAATCCACTTTGAATTTCATAGCAAGCAACAACAGCAGTCACAAAAGCAGTCTTCTTCTCCCTACTTCTTCAACATTATCCCACCATAGTTCTTATAACAAAGCAGGGAAGCAGTTCCCTTTCCTACAACAACCCACTGCAGAAGACGAAGAAGCAGCAGGCGACTCATCTGGTGGTCTACAATCTTCCAAACTGTTTGTCGATTCTAATCGTGCTCTCTCTCTTCTGTCATCTCCTCCAATGGTCCATCCTGATCTCAACCCACAAGTCCAGAGTTCAGTCCATAGTTTGAGCAGCTGCTACAATGGACTAGGCATTGAAAGTGAATCAATTGGGTCTGTTTTGGCAGCAGCTGATGGAAGCAGCAATAGTAATAGCAATGGTGGTCTGTTTCAGGTTGGACCTGGTGATGATGATGGGTCTAATGGGAATGCAAGTGGCTCTCATGATCATCATCTCCAGACCCTCTCTTTCACTTGGCAGTAAACCAACCAAACATCTTTTTCAAGTCTTTTAGTGCCAAGGAAATAATAAGGAAAAAGGGTTCCTTGTTGTGTTAGAATTCTGATGAATCTTTTTATTTATTGCTGATCTTATGTGGTATTCCTCATTTTGCTCCCTCCAATCAAGAATTGTGGGTGCAACATTTGTCAAAATGATAATGACGTTAGTATCTCTTAAGATTCTTATAATACGTACTTTATTGCTTCTATTGGATCACTGAGGACTGAGCAGAGATCCATAATTTTTTTTTTTGGCTCTCTAACTTGTTTCTTTGCCTTTCTCCACAATTTCTCATGTTTCTTTCTCCACAACTCGCAATCTTCTCTGTTCCTAAATTCAAAGGACCACTTGGGCGTTCCAATTCATTTCTACTAATGCACTTCTCAGATGGAGAAATCAAAACTACAACCATGACTACCGATTTTGTTCCTATTCGAGCGTGTCGAGAGTCTCTCGCGCAACCAAAACACGACTGAGACTCTTTTCTTTGCAGATGTCCTTATCTGTTGTTAACGAAAAGATGACGAATCGGCTATGAGAGCTCGGCATCCAACCATGACGAATTGACAGTAAACGTGTGAGGGTTCTGTTTCGAATAAGCTTTGCTAATAGATTCCACCCTAGCTACTTCTATCCGTTTACAATAGGGGCCTTCAGTCCAATTCCAATAGCAAGGCATCCATCCAACATATCAGATCAGTAGTCCATTGGAAAGCAACAAAACAGCACCAAATGCTGTTGCTTTTCCTTTTTGCACAGAAAGAACCTCGGAGGCATTATTCCAGCCAACCAACATTATCCTTTGATGGACCAGTCCACTTGGAACACCAATGACCTAATTCTAAGGACTGTCGTCTAGTGTTTATCCAGCTATTATATGTTCATTCTGTCTCCCGATAATGTCACCATGAATTTTGTCCCAATAATATGAGGGCGGGAAAATAATGGAAATATGGATCTTTTAGCATTTACATGAGTACATGATACTCCCCCACAAAAGAAACCCTAGTCTGTTGAGCTTGAAACTTGTATTATTGTTCCACACTATCGTGTCATATTTTGTGCAAGTCTTGAGTTAATGAATTTTGAAATATTTTTCACAACAAGTATGGCGCACAAAGTGTGTACTTCCAGTCTTCCACGACATATACAACTATTATAATGATGAATTGATGATAGACCCTCCGTTAAAGCGCGAATATAAAATTTAATAATTAAGGGGGGAAAAATCAAATCTCAAAATTTATTGCTTTCGTGGACCTACCACCGACACAGGCCTACGATTCCGCGAATGCATTACGACATAAGGCAACCACCCTACTCGAAGTCTTCACGAATTTTCACTCCCAGAGTTCTATTCAACGGGCCTCCTCCACCTAGTTGGACGTGGCTCAAAAACTAGCACAAGGGATGAGGCCAAGAGAAATAGTGATTTATCACATCAATCATGATATAACCCAAAACAATAATAAGATATAAATTATCTTATCTAGAGTATCATCATCCTAAAATATATTCGTCACTATATCGCAGTCACAATAAAAAAAAAAAATTGAACAAATAACGACCGCTGTGAAATAAGCTGTGCCTAAAAAACAATAAAATCTATGGTAACCAACATTTGGAATGTTTAAATCAATGATTTCAATAAGGATTGTTGGGAATCACACACGAAATCATTGACTTCTAAATAACATGAATATCATTTCAAAATCAATCCCTCCCATTAATTCAAATAATTATGAGAATGCAATAAATCCATTTCTACGACCACATTTCTAATCTCTTCCAGCCCCGTTTACACAAATTGAATGGCTAGCTAACAAAAATTGCAGCTCCAGCATTGATACAAACTCCTCCTTTTTGTCACCCACAAATAGGGTTGTTAATGAATCAAACCACTCATTAACGATTTGGCGTCCGACTCGAGAAAAACTCGTTCGGCACTCGATTCGTCTTAATCGAGCCGGCTCGCGAAGAAGCTCGTTAACTAAACGAGCCGAACTCGAGTCATACTATGTTCAGCTCGAAAAACTCGCGAACAAAATCATTTAACGGTTTGGCATCATAAATTATTGGAATTTATGGATTTTAGGCATTGAAATTGAGGAAAATATTGTGTTTTATTTTGTTAGACTTTGCTGCAGGTTTGAATGTAATTTTGTGCTCAGTTCTAGCTCAATCTTAAGCTATCATGAACATTTTATGAGTTGAACTTAATTTTGGTCTCGTTAAACTTATTTGGCGAGCCCAGCTCGAGTTTTTATTTTTATAAACAAGCCAAACTCGAGGTTACATATTAAAGTTCGTGACAAACTCGAACTTGGAAATCACTATCAATTCATATCATTAACAGCACTATCCACAAATTCCCTATTATCAAACATCCGTGTCTCCATATCTTGCCTGGATTTTTGCTCTTTCTTCTTGACTAGATTGCCAAGATAATTTGCTTTCACAAACTGAAAGGATATCAGAAAAGGGGTCAATTAAAGCTGGAAGAGATGATGAAAAAGAAGCAATGAGCCTTCCACTTCACACATCGAAATTGAATAAGAATATCCCATCACTTCACTCACTCTCGCTGCTTTCACAAAGCTTGAGAAAAAAACCCAATTGGCACAACAAAAAATTATGAATGAATACAGACAAAACACTGAAATTCTCCATCATCATCTTTATTAAAGTGAACTTGATACTTGCACATATCTTATCAGATTTTGCTATGGTGCTCGTAAGATGGTTTTGAGATCGTGCTCACATAATTCTGTACTCGTTGAATTGTTTGTGGATTTTGTTTTTTATTTGTTTGTTTGTGAGTTTGGTTGAAGCTCAATTCTTTTCTGGTTATGGCTGTCAAAACTGTGTTTGAAAGAAATTTTTCATTCCATTATATCATCAATCTTCATAAAAAGTGCTTATCATTTACATAAGAAAAACATACGTCGAGATAATTTCGCCCATATCCATCGCCCAATTCAAATTTCACATACATTTGTATTGACTTCCAATTCAAAAATATATGTTGTAAAATTAACTTGTGATCGTCGATAATTGATCATAATAATCCTAATAAATATATACATTATGTTTTTATTAGTAATTTAGTGGTACCTAGCTAGATTCTAGATTATATTTGATTGGAATATACACATACAAGAGCACAACATAAACATATATGTGATCAAGGTTGTCAACATGCGGGTCTACCCGAATTGATTTGGAACCAGTGAAGGAAATGGGTGGCACACACTCGGGGGTCAACCTACAACAAGATTCATGGGTTGAAGATCATACGATGTTGTTTTCTTCTATGGCTTGCGAACTGTACCTTTATCCGTTTTTCCCGTCGCCTAACTTTATCTTTAGAATTCTAATAAATATATAGATTATGTTTTTATTAGTAATTTTACGGTACCTAGCTAGATTCTATATTATATTTGATTGGAATTTACATATACAAGAGCACAACACAAACGTACATGTGATTAAGTTTGTCATTTGTCAACGTGCCAGTCGACCCGAATTGATTTGGATCCAGTGAGAAAAATGGGCGGCACACACTCACGGGCCAACCTGCAATAAGATTCCCGGGTTGAAGGTCATACGATATTGATTTATTCTTTAGCTTGGGAACGGTACATTTTTCTATTCTCCCTTAACCTAACATTACTTTTGGAATTGTAAGTTGAACATTTCAATATTTATGTCATATGAGTGTGTTTGAATTTTCACTATATTTTGAATTTGAATTCAAGTACGAATTGTTATTATGTTGTAATGTTATATAGTAGATAAAATTCGATATTATTTATAAAAGTGTGCACAATATAATAATTTTTCATACATATAAACTAATATGACCATTAACCTTCAACCGATTTGCACAACTAAGCCAACGAGCTAAACAAGCAGGTTGTCAACCTCCCTCAGTGGTGGAGCCACGTTGAGCTCAAGGTGGGCTATAGCTCCCCTCAACTTTCGAAAATTGGTAAATTTACATGGAAAATGTGTAACAAATTTTAAAAATAGACTAGTTGGTAGGCCACTAGTCCCCCTCACCAGTGACCATGGTTCAAACTTCAAACCACTCAAATATATATTATTTAGCCCCTCGTTCAAATTTCTGACTCCGCCACTGTTTGTGATGTAAAGAAGCTAAAGTGGATCCCAATATCCAAGTCTCTTATTTTCTTTTCCATGTCTATCCAAAACTCACACTCAACTCAATTATCATCCACTCCTTAAAATCCAATAATTTCCCACTCCAATAATTGCCGTCTGCATTAGCCAACCACAAGCCCACACGTGGCCACATTCATGAACCAATCAACTTTGTTTCCTTATATAAGTAGCTACACTATAGTTCGCCATTTAGCCTGAAACCCACAAACAAACATACGCTTTATCAGAAACCTAGTAAGCTCTTATGGAGATGAGCCAGAGGAAGTCGTCATCTGGCGGGTCGATTCGAGGCAAGCTGCTGGCCAAGTCCTTGTTTGGACTCGGCGGCAAGAGCTCCAAGTCCAGAGCAGAAGCAGTGCGCCACCATCCGAACATCGTCGTCAATGGTGGTGGAGGTTTCTACTACGCCACTAATCGTCAGAGCAGTGAAGTCGCAAGCCCGCATGCCGCATCAATTCAGAAGTCGGCAGCTGGCGTGGCGACTAGCGGCAGCTTTTACTACTCCTCCCCTGGCGATGCAAACGTGGATGCCAAGGCTGCGACTTACATTTCTTACGTTCGAGAACGGTTCATGGCCGAGCGGCTTGATTCAGAGGCCTGGTAATGATGATGATAATAATAATAATAATAATAATAATAATAATAATAATAATAATAATAATAATAATAATAATAATAATAATAATAATAATAATAATAATATAGGAAATTGAAAAATCAACAAAGAATTCGCTTCTAGGATATGAGAAAATTAACTAGTTGTTGTATCATGTAAAAGTTCCTCTTATGTCCTCTCTGTGCATTTCTTAATAAGTAATCATACTATGATTCCAAATTCCATATAATTAAAAAAAAACTTGTATTATTTCGAATATCATACAAAAACTCGTTACTGCTAGCTAGGGGTTGATTCATGTGTTACAAGCATGTCGTTGATGGATCACATGCTACACACATAAAAAATTTGTGTATCACTACGTAGTTTTCTCTATCCAAATTAGTTAATCGTAATAATCTATTAAGTTTCATATTAGCT